GAACTTAAACGTCCTGCAGTTCCCACCAAGGTGAGTTTGTGGTCCCAGCGGGAGCCATCATTCATTGTGGAGCAGAGGAGCAACGTGCATAGCCAGGGAATGCAAGATAGGTGTCGTCAGGCCACCTAGCTCTCTTAATTTGCTGAGCGTTGCCCGTTATCTAATAAATTGTATGTAGACTTTTCCTCTGCGGAGAGGCAATTACATTTCTAATTGCTGATATACAGCAGCAGTAGTTATTTTAATGAGCCTGGCAGAGGGCATAGCTAAGGCTCTCTTTCTGTTTAGCTCTGTTTAATACAAGCAGGAGGATATAAATAGCTGGGATTTTGCCTCATGTCAGCAAGTGAGGGTTTGTAGGTGTTTATTTTTTGTTTAAATATCTTCTTCCTGCCCACTGAAGATGAAGGTAATCAAGAGAACAGCGACAGGCCGATCATTTTCAGTGATCTTTCCACCCTGATGTAAAAGGAATGCTTGTCAAAAACTTCTCTTGAGTGGGTAGAAGTTGCCTTTCTGTGGGTGAAAGGGGAAAATCTTCTAAGATAGGAATCTTCTAAGATAGAGCTGCACTGACAAAGTTTTAAACTTGCAGCTAGCTTGAAGAGGAGTCTAGAGAGCCTGAAGTAAATAGCTCAGAGGTGTGAGCAGCCCTGTTACTTCTGCTGAGTGCCAGCTTCCACGCTGGGGGTGGCTGACAGGTTACCTAGACCTTTAACGGTGTATGCTGATGTCAGGAAGGGAAGGGAGAGTTGATGTTTTGCAGCAGAAGAGCTCAACTTCCTGCAGCTTGATTCCAGCAAGTATTCTTCAGGGATTACCTTTAATTGTAAGGGAGCAGATCATCTTCTCCCTTAATCCCACTGGCACCTTATTTTAAAGAGGCAGGCACTGGCCAGGGAAGAACTAAATTGCTGTATGTACCCGAGGTGGCTAATCTCTCCCTTCTGCCCTCCCCTCTGCCTGCCAGCATTCATCTCTGCATTACACAGCTGCACACCAAAGCAGGCGTGGCGGAGCAGTTCCTGAAAGATGTCAAAGACAGCATTGAGGACATCATGAAAGACCTCAACGCCAAGACCACAGGCATGGTAAGGAGCCGGGATATAGCAGGGGTGTGTTGGCTGAGCCTATTTCCTGGGTGGAATTAAGGATCCCACGTAACCACCTCTTCTTCTCCGCTTAGGGAGCCATCTACGGAATGGCCCAGTCCATCCCCGACAGGAGCCTGGTGGCGGAGATTTCTCTGGCCTACCTGGATGGCCTGTACAGCACCGAAGTTCCTGGCGGTGAAAAGCACATGAACGGCTCTCCTGGCCACTGCTGACCGTAGCGCAACTATCGGTGCCTTGCCAGTTAGCACTGGGGTGGTTTTAAAGAAAGGTTTCCTAGGGAAAGAGATTGCAGTATAAGCCTACAAGTACAGGTCTGATGGCAGCTTGATCTCAAAACTTTATTCCCCATCTCCGTCTGCTCTGAAATCTGCATTATCTTCACACTCAACTTTGGTTTTAGGGCTTTCCTTCCCTTCTCCCTGCCTACTCTCATCATGAATTGAGCGTCATTCCATGACTCCAGACTCCTCAGGTATTCTGTATATCACTTCATTCCTTGCTGTTTCTTCTCCTCAGACAGTGCATTCAGCCGGTGTCCAGCCAAGCATTAGATTTGAGTTTCCATGTTGTGTTCCAAGGCTTCAATCTTCCCAGAAGCTGAAGGTAGAAAATAAATTGATTTTTTTTTTCTTTTGAGTATTCCTCCAAGCTACTGCATTTAACAAACCATGCTGGGAGCCTTATACCTACATAACGCAGAGCTGATAGATTGGCAAAGGAAAGATGATCATGTAACTTTTTAAACCCCCCTCTGGAGATCTCAGACTGCAATCAATATTTATTGAGGGTGTAGGGGGGGGAAACAGCACACAATCCTTTTTCTGGAATCTCTCCGTTTGAATAACAGCAGAAATAGAAAGCAAGTGGGTGGTGTACGGAGAGGAACTGGATGGTACTGAAAATCCTAGGTACTTAGTATCTGTTTTGCTTCCCTGCCTCTTCTAGAAGACATGCATCGACCACCTAGAGTGCTGTCGCACCTTGCACAGTTCTGGAGGGATGTGCAAAACAGGGATTTCGCTGTTCATAACTTGAAGGTTTTGCACTATCTCACAATGCTGTAGTCGAGTCAGTGAAGCCCTAGCGTGTATCATGGCTGGGGACTTGACGTGCAAACGTATGGCACCAAAGCTGACTTTTTTTTTTTTAAAAAAAACATAATCCTTTAGTATAACAAGGTGACTTTTGTAATAGAAAGTAGTAATCTCTCTGCTCTTTGCACTGATTCTTTTAAGGCACATTCTCGTAAGGGCATTCACCATTGTGCCTTGATGCTTCTCTGGCTTTTTGGGGGATGCCAGGGAGGGTTTGAGGGGTCAGCTGTTGACTGGCTGCAACATTAGCTGCAGTTTCCTTACGGTACTATACTGAAAACAAAACCTCAAAGGCAGGCTGGCCTCAGGTAAACTGTGCTTGCCCATAAGGCAGAGTAGTCGTGCTATTGAGCCAAGTCCCCTCACAGTATTTCAAAGATGCTGGCAGAGCTCTGAAAGGAAGGAGACAGGACGCAGTAAGCTGGAGGTAGCCGAGCCCTGGGCACACAGGCTTTTTCTCTGCTGTTTTTGCTTTGAGAGTTTTACTGCTGCAGCTTGGGAGGCAGTTGTTGCCCTCAGGATGAGCTGGAACCTCTTGAGTTGTTAAACAGCGGCGGAGCTGCTCCTGCAGGGCTTTCCTGTGCGTTTCCTCTCGGCTTTTGGCATGCTGCTGAGAGTTTCCCAGGCAGAGTTCAGCACCTGGAAGAAGACTTCGTGCCATGACTGCAGCGTCTCTGCCGAAATGGGCTCGATAGCCCCAACCTGGCCCCCACTGGCTTAACACAGCTGAAGCACACGCTTGCTCGGTAACTACACGGGCTGAGGAGGCTACAGAGCAGCCGCTGCACACCCAAATTTTGGACCTGGAGAGTGCTGGGAAGAACACTTTGCTTTTTAACAGGTTTAGTAGTGCTAGGAGACAAAGCATTTTGGCCATCTCCTGTCACGCTGAACTGGTGGCTGCAGTGCATGTCTCTGAGCCCTTCTGAAAACATCCCGTTTGAATTGCCTGCCAGTCTCTCGGTGTGTTAGCAGCCCTGGCAGTCACCGTTTGTGTTGGACCTGTTTATTCTGTCAACGCCTTGCTAACGTGACCATTGCTGCATCTCTCAGTTTTGCTGTACTGTGGGGAGAGCCTGAAGTGTCTGTCTACTGTGACGGTTCTCTTTGAGCCAAGGTTTGGAAAACAAAAAAGGAGGCTACTCGTTTTGTTTCTGCTTTGAAAGAAAGGGGGGGATGGATTAGGGTGGGGTAAAGGAGAGGAAAAACTCCTTCCTCTGCCCTGGTGCCATCTCCCCTGAGGAAGTGGGTGGATCAGTGCTCCATTTCACATTTTTGGGTGGATTTGAAGATGTTATTTGTAACTCAATGTACTCCATTCTGGACCTCACCTACTAGTAATTTGTGGGTTTAATTGTTCAATGTGTATACGTTCTGTACTGTAAATGTAATCCTGTGGTCGGGAACAGGCCACTGTAATTTACTGTTGTGTAGTCTTTATTCATCCTGGTCACCTAACATGTAATCTGCTTCTCCTGTATCATGCCAAATGGTTTTAGAGAAAAATGAGATTAACAGGCTATATAATTGTCTCTCTCTCAAAAAAAAAAAGACTGGATTATGATCTGGAGGGATTTTCCCAACTGTTAATCCCTGCGAGATTTCGGACTGGTCAGTTTTTTCCAAGCGAGACACTACATTTGTTACTTGTACAAAGCACTCCCAAGCGAGTTGGGTGCTCCTAGGTACTAGGCTGAAGAATATCCACTCGGATGGGCCAAGAAGAGATGTCTGTCTTCATGCCACGGATTTCATCTGCACTTTTCTGGTGACTCGGGGGAACGGAAGGGTTGCGTACACCACAATAATACCTTGCCCAATAAATTCATTGATTTTTTTAATGAACAGATGGGATGAGTTTCCTCTGATGGCAGTATTTGATATTGCTCTGGTTTGCCACTGTAAAACTGTAAGCTGAAATAGCTGATGAGATGGTGAAAACGGACCTGGTTTGCATTAAAATGGTGCATTGAGCTACCTAGGCTCATTGAACTCTTTATTTTTCTCTTTCAGTGCTCATTTGAATGGATGGGGACCTGTTGCTTCTGATCTTTGCTCTTGGGAGCAGCCTAGTCTGTGGCGGGGAAAATGGTTTATGAATGGTATTAATTCTGCCCGAGAGCTGCTCTTTTGTTCTGTCAAGATGAAAGTGGTGGCTGTGACTTCCTCTTGCGATGTTCAAGGGTGCCAAAAATTGTGTATGTGTAAGAGCTGTGGGTTTTCTCTTAATGCTTTATGGAACTTGGAGGGTTGAAAAAAAAATCTGATCAGAGTTGGGCGATTCCAGTATTTCTCCCAGGCTGTTCTGCTGAGAACAACTGCTGTTGGTTTCACAGCAAAGCCTTCTTGTTACAAAAAAAAAAAAAAAAAAAAGGCAGAAATTCAGGCGCTGCCTGAATGCCACTGTTACTGGAGTGAAGATCTTACAGCACCAAGCCCACCTAAAAACCCTTTTGGGAGGTGTGCCCCAGCCCCTGCTGCGTTTGTGCCTTTTGGTTGTGTTTTCCCCATGGTTGTGCCTCGGGTCTGATGGCTGCACTTTGGATTTTAGCACAAGCAGTTTTTATCAGATCTGCTCCGGCTTTTAAACAATGCTCTGATAATCTCATTCTCTTTCAGACCACGTTTGCTTTGAGGTGCAGGCCTGTGAAGGCACGTGCCTCTTCTCCATGCTGTTTCGAGAAGCTTTTCCATGGCAGGAGCACCTTGCTGAGACAGGACAGAGCAGTCAGGGGTTTTGGGAAAACCTCTGGGCGTAATTCTGAAAGCGAAGCCACCTCCTGAGCTCAGATCAGGTTAACCAAGAGCTTTATTGTAAACACTTTCGGTTGGTTTTCTACTAAAAGCTGGTTACAATCGGGGTGAGATCACATACCTGCTTATAATACTGCCAGGGAGAGGTTAAATTAATAACCACGTTGCACATCACAGTTGTTGGTGTGTGATAAACCCAAGGGTTCATGTACCGCCTTGTGAACAGTAAAGCATATTTTGGTACAAAAGAAGCAATAACAACAAAAAAAAAGAGAGAATAACAAAAAAGAAAGAATAACAAAAAAAAAAGAAGCAATATCAGATGGGGTCAGGCTCTGGAAAGATTTACTGCAGTAGTTTAACATCGCTCCTGGTGAAAGGGCATGCCTACTGAAAGCCCCCGAGGCTCAGTAGGCTGTGAGCGGGCAGTGCACAGGTAAAGGGCTGAAGCATGGAAGTGGCGAGGCTTCCTGGCTGCCTCCATCCCTCTGAAACGCCAAGCTGTGCGTGGCAGGGAGCTCGGTGTGGGCTTAGGCAGCCTGGGGCTAGGCACTAGCTTGGAATAAGCGGGAGAAGGCTCGAGGTGCAGTCGTCCAGGCGAGGCGTGGGTTGTGGCTGCGGCAGAGCTGATGTTTGGCTTCAGGTGTCCCTCCCTAGTCAGGACAGGGAAGCTGCAACCTGCTCGATGAAGCTGGCCAAGTTGATGTCTCTCTCGGATAAGCCCGTGCACTCGTGGGTGCTCAAGGTGATGTGAACCTAAAGCAGACAGAGCGACTGAGTGGCAGAAAGAGCAGGAACAGGTTCCCCCAGTGCTGCAGGCAGCTGGCATCTGATGAGGCAGGTAGTGCTATCACTTTCTGCACTCGTTAGTAAAATTTCTTGGGGTTGGGGAGGTGTTGAGGCATTTCACATGGTTTTCTCCTTGGCCACAAGCAGTGACTGCTGTCCCTGCACTGGTTGTGGCAGCCAGCTGTGCATTTCAACTCACTATCAGGAAACTTTTCCCCTTGCCTGCTGCTTCTGGTACTGACCTCAAAAAGCCACCAACTCTGGTGCCAGCTTGCTCAGCTGGGCAGAAACAAAAGGGGAAGAAAGGGGCTGTAGGTGATGGCTGCAGGCTGCCTGTGCTATGCCAAGGGAAGAGGTCCTGCTCGTCTGCCTGGGACTTATGCTATTTTATGCCTCACAAATGGGATCTGCTCCCCAAAGAGCTCTGTTTGTCCCTGTCATCCTTGTTCCTTACCTTATTGTAGACGTTGAACCACTCAGGGTGGTGATCCAGTTTTTCTGCCTGTAGAGCCACTCTGGTCATGAAGCCAAAGGCCTGCCCAGGGGAGTAAGAAGAAAAGTTAGCTCTGGACCATTTACCTTCTGATCCGTTTTTGTTCACCCCATTGCTATTAATTTTATACCCCATGTTTCTAGGAATCCTGGCAAATCCAAGACCTGGGATGTTTTATATCTTTGTTGGGGTTTTGCATGGGTCTTCCTCTTTTGGGGGATCTTTTCCCAGGCAAACACTGTCTCTGGACGAGTGGTCTTGGGTAGGTTGTCTTGCTCAGCCATTGTGTTTTGGGAAAATGGAAGTGTTACTGTGGCCGAGCCCTGCAGGTGGGACTCCCAGCTCTGCAAACCAGGTCTCCAGCACTGTAAAAACTCGGTCCCAGCGATGCTCGTACCCGGTTGAAGTCCTTGAAGTGGAACTCCTTGAAGATGGCATCTCTGCCTTCCACCTCGTTCCACCCCACGGCTCTCAGGTTTGGCAGCAGCTGCTCCCTCTCCTCCGCGCTCAGCCTGTGGGCTTTTCCTGCCTGGCACCGGGGAAGGGAAGAGGAGCAGGTCAGCACGGCAGGGGTAGGATGAAGCAGATACCCCCGCCAAAAAATGGGCTTCCCTTGGATTTTGGAGTTACGGCTCTGTGGAGGCAGCAGCAAACTGGGTGGGAGGGATGTGTGTGTGTGCAGACCTGAACCCCTGAGCACAGGAGTTATCAGTGCTGCCCTCGAGCACAGCCTCCTGGGATGCTCCTGCTGTGTGTACGTGTTCATTATAGCCTGAAGCACTAAGAAAATGGTGGCTTTGGGTGGTTAGGCTCCAAAATGCGTAATATTTTGCCCTTCTGCCTCAAAAATTCTGTATCTGTGAAGACTTCTGGAACTGAGAACCGCTTGCTTTTGGGGTTTGTGAGGTACCCTCGGAAGGAGGAGGACTTTAATTGCAGGGCAGCTGTACCAGAGACCTCTCCAAGAGGAGAAAAGAAGTGGTGTGAATCACAGAGATGAGTCACAGTAAATTGGAGTTCAGCTCCTTTTCCTTTTTCCTTCAGCCTCCCTTACGTTAGGACGGATTTTAAGAGGCTGTTTGTCTGCGAGTGACAAAGGGCAGAGGGAGGGACTGCGATTTAGCATTGTCTTCTGCTCTTGGGCAGAGCTGTTGCTTCTTAAAGGGGGGGGAGAGGGGGAAAGCTGCAGCTCATGGCTTTAGCAAGCGAGTAGGGGCAAATATGGGACTAAATTTGGGATGGGAGCTGCCCGAGCTGGTGTGACCTCCTGGCTGGGTGGGCAGGCAGGGATGAGCGTGCAGAGGTGTTGCTTTTCGTGGAAGCTGGCGTTCTGGCAATTAAATCCTTTCCTGAGGGCGATGTGATCGCTAGCACCGGGGAGGATTGTTGTTTCACACTGGCACACACCAACATCTCTGTGCCATTTGCTTTCCTCTGCGCTTTAGGGCAAAGCCCGGCGAGTTAGGGGGGAGTCCCCACAACCCCAGCCCCCTCTTCTTGTGCTGCTCAGCTGCTTAAGGTGCTGCTGCCGAGCATCGGTGGCCTGCTTAATGCCAGGTTTCGAGGGCAGGTGGTGAGTAAACACAGCTCAGAGCAATAAACCCTCGGCTGCTGCCCTTCGTGCCGATGGCGCGATAAGCCGGGCGCGGGTAGCTTAGCAACTGGATAACGTGGGGACGGACGGAGGCCTTGGTGAGGGGGGGGGACTGGTGGCAGCACCATGTTTTGGGGCCGACAGAGGGCTGGAAGCTGCTCACACACCACTGTGGGGAGAGGGGAGGTGGTCTGAGGGCTGAGGTGGGCCATTTTGGGGGTTTTGCACAGGCCTGGCTGGATTCTGGCTGGCAGACGGGGCAAAAAGCAGCTTGTGGCAGTCCCCCTGCACCCTCCGTGCCCTCCACCCCATCCTTCTGTCCCTTTTTTTCCCCCCCCAGAGCATCGTCCTGCCTGCTGTTTTGGTGGGTACAGCCTGTCCGTGCTTTCATGTGCGCTTCTTTCTTTAAGCACACACGCTTTTCATTAGGGAAACGCAATTATTTGGTTTTCTTTTGCTGGCTTTCCACTACTGAGGCATTGGATTTTCTTATTTTGCTGCCCGCAGGATGCTATTGTGCAACTGAGGCAAAGGGACCAGCATGGGAAACCGAGAGCCCGTCCCTGAGGGGTTTTCTGGAGATGAACCCCCCCCTGCCCAAATCGGCAGCTTCCCTTGTAAGCGTGGCTCCTCACCTAGAGGGGAAAAAGGTGAGGGGGAGAGCCCCAGCGTGAGCAGGACTGGAGTTGGCTGTGCCCCGAGGCCTCCCCTCTGCTGTGAAAACCCTGCTCAGAGCCCGCACGAGTGGGGCTCACACCCCAAAGGCAGGATTTGAGCAGGAGCCGCGCTGGCAGTGCTGCCAAACCTTTCCCTCCCCCTGCGGAGGAGCCAGCAGGCTGTGGCTCTGCTAATTCCGAGCTGCCCGCGTTACTCATTAACCACAGCACGCAGCCCTGCTCCTTCCTCCCTCTCCTCCTGCCTCCTTAGGGCTGCAGCAGCCACCTCAAACCCTCCTTTTCCCATCCTTCCCCGGCGGAGCAACAGCCGCGTTGCCTGCCGGTGCCTTACCATCGCCCGCCGGTGTCCGTGGCCTCCGTCCCCGCTCCAGGCTGGGTGTTGCGAGCCGTGCTGGAGCCCAACAGTGGGGTTGGGGCCACGGGAGGCGTGGCGAGGGGTCGGGTCCACCCAGGGCGGACCGAGGCCCGTGCCCCACGCATTTCCCATTCCCAACGCCGCCCGGCAGCGGTCGCACGCTTGCTGGGCTTGGGGATGCTGGAACATGGGCCCCTTGGATCCCCGTGTAACGAGCAGTGGTCAGCGGCTCTCCACATCCCTTCCCCAGCGGGATTTTTTCCTGACCTGTTGCAGGATGGAGAGGGGTGGTTACGAGCCCCCCCGGGTGCTGCTGTGATGCTCTCACGGCCCTGCATCGCTCCGTGCAGTGAAAACCAGGAGCTGAGGGCTGCACCGCGTGGGGACAGCCTGGATCATTTCACAGCGCGGTGATGAGCCGGGGTAACGCAGGGGCTGTGCATGATGCCTTGGTGCATTTTCAAGGCGTTTCCTCCTGTTGCTGAGGGAACCGTGTCTGCACGGGCGCTGCGAGCTGTTCCCCAGCCTGTTTGCTCCCCAAATTCGTGCCCGTGTCCCGTGGCTTGTCGCCTGCTAAACCCACTCACGTGTCCAGAGCCGACAGTTCTGTGCCTTGCTGATGTACGTGATGCTGTGCAAGCCCAGCAGGTAGCGAGGACAGAAATGCAGCACCCCGCCATACCCCACTGCCTTTCCTTACCCTTGAGCCAACTAATTTGGGGAACTTTTTAATATAGTGCGACACACGCCCCTCGTAGATGCTTATGCGCATCTTGTTTTCCACTGTCAGAGTTCCTGAGTGCCACAGAGACTATTTGTTTCTCCAGCAGGCGTCTTAGAGGGAAGCAAATCCTTCTGCTGTGGTAATGAAAAGGAAAAATGAGAATCTTTCCTGTCCGGGGAGAGCCTCTGCCTCCGTCCGGGGAGAGGAGACTTGGAAGGCAATGCAGCACCTGGGAAGAAAATTGTTGTCTGCAGATGTGAGGCTTTGATACGGAAGGCAAGAGGAGTGTCGTACCGTTGTCAGCAATGAGACCAGGAGGTGGGATTGTTTGTAGGGCAGGGAAAGGCGAGCAGGACGTTTTCTTGGCGTCGGGCTGAATTGCAGGACACCCTGACCAGCACAGCCCCGGTGTCAGCTGCAGCCTTCTGAAGAAAACGCGGTGGCAGTTGTGATATTGGCGTGTCAGGGCCTCAGGCACACCTTGGCTAGGTGGCAGTGCCTCTCCTGGCCTCCCTATTGATCTGGAGAGGGGGGGACGCCAATCCCCCACCTCTCACCGTGCCCTGCTTTCCCTCTGTGGTTTTTGTTCCAGCCCAGCTGGGAGCTGATCCTATTTACTTTGCCAAGCGCGCTGCCAGTGCAGAGCAATTGACAGGCACCTCGGCTTGTTAAAGGTGAGAATTTCTGTGGTCGGAGAACATCGGGAGAAAAACGATTAATTATACCGTGTCTGCTGATTACCCAGCTCCTTTGTGATGCCAGCTTCTCTCCTAGGTTATAAATCAGCACTTAACGACCAGCCTTCCGCGTGAGATCTCTCTCTGGCACAGGGATGTGCTTCTGCTGAAAGGTGTCAACAGGGCAGTTGTGATTTTCCTCTCTGTAGGTGTGAAATTGTGCCTGGGCGATCCTCGGGCTGCCTCTGAATCCTGCGTGCATGAAATCCTCCTCTGCTCTGCTTTAATTTTCCTTTTGGAGATGGGACTCTCGATTTAATGATTAATTGAGCGCTGTTGGGCAAGGTGTTTGCACAGGGATGCGTGCAGCCCTGTGCAAGGGGCGTGCCTCTCGCTGGGGGAAATTTCTGCTCTTTTTTCCTGCCTTTTCCCCTAGTTTAGAGCTGTGCTTTTTTGGGGCTAGGTCAGGGGCAGTTTAACTCACACGTGCATTGCTGTGGCATACCCATGGGGGTTATCATGAGCATCACTAATGGATGATTATTTCTGTCTACACCTTCTTAACAAAATCCTGCTTGCCCCAGAAGCTGCTTTGGTCGAGATTCACGTGCTGCCAACCATCTTCAGACCTGCTTTTTGAATTTCCTCGCCCAGTTTTCTCATTTCGCAGGCCCAAGGAGGAGGGACAACATCTTCCTTCCACGAAGGTGTCAGCTACGATGCTGGGACTGCTCGCAATCACGTAGGAGCTGTGGAGAGCCTGTGCTTTTTGTTGTTTTTTTTCATGTTTTAATTTTTTTTTTTTTTTTTTTTTTTTAATTTTCTTCCGTGGTCTGTGCTGGCTCCTCACTTAACAGTATTAAAGATCTGCTCAGTGTCATCTTCCTGCCTGGGTGCTTTTCCAGGCACCCCTCAGGAGCTGCTGACCCGCGGGGTTGGTGTGAGCATTAGCATGGTTCGAGAAATGATAAATTCACTCTTATTTTCCCATCCTGGGCTCTCTCGTGAGGCAAAGGGGATTAACCAGCAAAGAAAGAGGTGGCTTCTGCCGTCGTCGTCTTTGCTGTGGCTGTCGGTAAAGCTGCTGACCCAGCTCTGCGATGTTTGCTGATGAAGGGCAGGTGTCCTCCAGCGCTGCGTGAGAGAGGTTTGTCGCAGCCAGGGGGGGTTACCAGAAAGCAAATCAAGGGGAGATCTGGGCTGAAAATAGGCGAAGGTAGAAAGAAGAAGCTTCGTTTGTGCTTGCCCTCTTCTCGGGGCACTCCTGGCTGCAGCTGGAGAGGGGATCCTGGGTGAGAAAGACCCTTGGTCTGAACCAGACCATCCCTCAGGCTCCTTAGAGACGAGATTTGTTTAGATATTTGCCTTTTTGGAAAATCCTGGGGATGCTGGCAGTGTGCAGCACCTTTACCTGGTGCACTTGGCTCTGACGCCACCTCCATTTCCCTCTTCTCCCCCCATTGAGAAAGGAGAAGGGCTTGCAGTGCTTTTCCTCCCTAAATGGGGAGACCCAGTGCTAGCAACCCAGGAGATGGGGGAACTTATTTGTGTCTGGTGGTACCGAACCATCCACGTGTTCATGGTTTTGAGGTCACTGGTGTGATGGGCCAGCTTCTTTCATCATCGCCTGTTCTGCCGCTCTCTGAAGTGTTGCTCCCGTGGCACAATAGATTTAATTAGAGTTTGTTTAGCATCGGAGGGGATTTATGGCAGTTGTGACAGGTTTAAGTTGACAAAAGGGCCCGATAAATAGAGATGAATTGTTAATTATCCCTGCGTGAGCCTTCCTCTTGGAGAGTCGTTCCCCTCAAAGTCAGCCAGGGCTTGAAGTTTGCCTCGGCACGGTGAACAAAATGGAGGCTGCAGCAAACTTGGTCTGAACATGCAACATGGTCTGAACTTGGGTAGACCTGTGCGGTGTCAAGAGTTGGACTTGATGATCCTTAAGGGTCCCTTCCAACTCAGGATATTCTATGATTCTATGAAACTTCTTCTGGGCTGGTAACGCAGTGCTTTGGGGAAAGGGCCTCACCATCAGGCTGCGTGTAGGTACCTCTAGAGAAGGCTAGGTTGAAAAACTGGCAATAAAAGTGGTGTAATCTTCTTCGATGGCAGCAAATGTGAACACTCAGTGGGAGGCAGCTGGTCGCAAGAGGCTGGAGTCACGGCGTCTGTGTTCAGCTCCCTTCCTGGCTTCTGCTCCCCACCGGCGGTCCTCTTCTGGCACATCTGCAGGGTGAGGATCCTGATGGATCTGGAAAGCTTTTTCCATCCGAAGGAGGGAGTTTTGCTGTGTTTCTGCAGGCAGAGCTGGGCGCTGCGTGTTGAGGTACGGCCACGTCTTGTCACTAGGGGTCAGGAAAACGCTGAGAAAAAAACTCTGAAACCCGCCTGGTCCCAAAAACCAGGAGTCAGGGCTGCCAAAGAACGGTTGTGCTCAGCCAAGCAGCTCTTGGTCCGTAGTCCTTGCCCCTGGGTGCTGCCCGAGCTGTGCTGAATTTCCATGGACATGTTGGCTCCTGAGAAGCACCTCCAGGTCCTTTGGTGCACCCCCAAAGCATCGGTGCTGCTCCTGGGGCACTCTGTCCCCAAAATCTGTGAGCACTGAGGTCTTTGGGTACCATTCTTGCTTTCAAGCCCTCATTTTATCTCCAGCTTCCCAATCTCAGGGCGCACAGCGGCTGCCCTGAGGTTAGGAACTGGAGCTGGGCTGGATATAAAGGCAAGGTCTGTCTGCCCAGACCTTTAATTAGGGCAGCACGTAGGATTAGAAGAGGTAGATGAGCTTTTGGGCATACAAACCCTTCTTCCAACGTGAGCCAGAAACAGCAGGCTTTGCAGCTAGATTAGCTGAGAACGGTTGCTTGGAGAATAGCAAGATGCTTGCCACGTGTGCTTGCTTTGGGAGGAAAGAGTGGCTGCAGCCTACAGGGGAGGATGGCAGGTGAGTGGAAAAAAAAGATGTTAAGGCATTATTTCCTTGAGGAAACAGTTACCTTACAGGCTGTGGCAGGTGAGGCTGCTGGGGGGGACAGCAGCCAGCTCCAGGAGCCTCGCTGTGCACTGGAGTTGTGATTTTTATTTCCCAAACCTGCCTCTGGGAGGCGTTTTCTAGCATGTTTTTTCCTCAGGTTGGGGCTGAGAGCAGAAACTTTATTTTTTTTGGGTGATAAATGGTGCCCTGCTGGCTTCTTGTTGGGCTTGTCCCTCACAGATTGCATGTGGGAGTCCGCTGGGATGCTCAGCAGGTGCTCAGCAGTCATCTCCAACCTTCCTGGTTGGGTGCTGGGTGAGGGGTAGCACATCCCTGGGGGCACCGAGGTAACACCCAGGCCTGGAGCATGGTGTAAGGGGAGCTGCTGGAGGGAGATTGGCAAATCTTGCACTTTTTTTTTTTTTTTTGGTGCGTGCTTGCACAATCTGAATCTGATAGCAGAAACTCATGCATGAAATTCATCTCAGGTGCAGTGCTGTTTTTTTTTTTTTTTCATGTTAGCATTAAACATGCTCTTTTGATGAGGTTACTCTGTTATTTATATTACCACCTCTATTCCTCCCCAGCTTAATGAGTTTGCACTGCTTCTTCCAAACTGAATTCATCTGCTTTGCTTGTTCTTGCTATTAGTGGGAACGACCACTGGACCATGCTGTCTGCACTGTTTGTTCGAAGCAGGATCAAAATTAATGGGAAAACAGTGTACACAGCAATCGTAAGAAACCCAAACGCCACTGTGCTGCACCCGTTGGGGGGAGGAAATTAAATAACATAGCAGCTCGCTTCAAAGTCTGAGGATAAAGAGTTC